ATGTCGTTTAGTAATACTGTACCTACCTTCTACATTGTCTTCCTCCGCGTATTCTAAATCCGGATCGATATTGATTTCCGCTAAAGATTTTCCTTTATATTCTAATGGCAAACGACCCTTTTCCATCATAAGAAGCAGTTTGGATACCTTTGCAGTTTGATACAGATCTACAGGCAGTCTAAAACAGTAACATTTACGTTTCCTCCAAATGTGCAATGCTCAACTAACGTTAAATTTTACATTATTTGTGCCAAGGTTAAATTTTAAACAACAAAACTTACTCATAAAATTCATCGTGTGTTTTTTGGGTGTGGCCCATAAAAGTAGAGAATTGTTTAGCTTCATCTTTTGATAAATTCAGCAGCTGCATTATTGTTGCTATATGTTTTCTAAGTTTATTGCTCGTTATTGCTGCAGGAGCTTCCAGGTTAACCATCGTTGCTAAATTCCTAATTGCAACATCTCCCTTTCCCCACTTTATCTTGCTACCAGGCATCGCAAAAGCATACTCGTTGTCATTTGGAATATATTTTTCTCGATGTTCTAACAGGACGCCCATAAAATTTTGAATTAGTTCTGGGATTAAAATTACAACTGGCCTTGAACCTTTGCCACCAGTGACAACTCTCTTATACTTAGTCGTTAACGCCTTTTCCATTTCCGTTAGAGCATTTTCAAAATCTTTAATGTTGCTTTTTTTTCCAATTGTATAATCCTTAATTTTTAAATATTGTACATCTCCTATGCGTCTTCTATTAAAAACAATAAGCAGTGACAGAGTACACTGCACAAGTAATTTATAGGTATGTTCATTGTCCTCTTTCATGTGAAATTTATTCTGGCATTCTCTAGCTATTTCCATAATCCCATCTCTAAACTTCTTGACGTCACTGACCAACGGTAACAATAAAGGTTTTTGCCATCTCTTTTCAAGCAAATCTTTGTTTGCTAAAGAGGAAATTTCGGTATTCCATCGTGAAATAACTAACTTTTTAAAATTTTTTATATCCTGCAACCATCTTTGAGAATCATCGGTAGATTTACATTTAAACCCCTTGCTTTGCTTTAAAATCAAATGAGTGAGTTCATCACACACCATCTTGAGGGAAGTTCCAAGATGCATCGCTAGACTAGGTGCCTTAAATGTTTTCTTTTCAAAATCATACCCCACAATATGTCGGACGGCCGTAACCACGTTATCAAAATTTTCGGGGTGTAATAAATCTTTAAAGGAAGTTTCTGCTCCCTTATTAAGAATTCTTCGATAAGAAATCAATAATCGTGCAAGTTCTCGCATTCTGTTACTACATGAAATCGCCATCCTCTCTCTTTTGTGTTTCATAAGGTAAGAGTTTCCAAAATGCACGATAAGGAGGTCTCTTTTCGCTTCGAAAGCGATGTCATCTCCTTTCATAAGATTGAAGACCTATCAAATAGGGTAATTACTTAAAGTATTATTAATTAATTAAATTTAACATTAATAATAATCTAAAAGTATTAATTATTCCAGTATTGCTCATACATAATTAATTTTTCAAAAATGTAAAAATATAGTACCGTGCATTAAGATAGAAACACCAAAATAAAAAACTTAAAGAAACGGTACGCGCTTCGATAGCAAAGTTCTCATCAGCAGCGACCAACTGCTGATGATAACACCGTTGCTGTCGAAACGCGTACCTACTTTTTATAAAAGTTCTTTTTTTGTAGTTTTTAGATATGGGTCCGATTGTGTCACATAATAAAATATTGTTATCTTTTACTTACTTGCTCCTTCACATTTAACCGGGAAATAACGTTAGTTGGGTCCATTGCACATGCAGTAATAGTCATCGAATGAGATATGTGGTTTATTCTCCTTTCACTCGAACCAGTAGCAATATCCTGGGATTTACATGACTTTGCGTGCCGTTTTAAGTAGCTTTTCAAAAATAACCCCTTACAATATACGCATGGATAATATTGTGCTTTTCCTGTTGACCTCTTGGGATCAGTACGGTTAGGGCGAGTGGTTCCATTCACAAATAACTCAAAGTTCGTATTGTTTCTAAGTAAATGAAGAGCAATGCGCCTTTGTTTACTTTTTGTAGGTAACGCTAACATATCTCTAACATCTTTTTCTGAATAATGATGTCTCTCTAAATGACGGACAAAATTTTTTATTAATACGTCATTATCGCAATAGTTGCAACGATTAATTTTTCGATGTGGCAAGCGGTTTTTCTGAAACAAATGTATAGTTTGTAACTGTAGATAAGTACGTTGTGTTCGTTAAAATGTCACCCCGAGTGACAATGCATAGCGTCTGTAGTATTTTAGATGCATCTTTCAAGATTTTGTGCTGTTCGGTAATGTAAATAATTAATTATTATATACGTTCTATTCACAAAACCGGACGAGATGCATAACAATAAACATAATTATAGTATACAGGGTGGACGACCCAAATGGAATAAATTCATTATTTCGGTTGCTTATAGAAAATCCTGAAACACGTAGAACTTAAATTTTATGTTGACATTCTTCAACGTGAAAATGTTATCCCTACATTTAACTTCTTTCGAGGGATAGCTAAAACCCCAAGCTTTTTAATTGCTCTGAACTACTCTTCATCCTCTATCCATAAATGAAATTGTTTTCAAATTTATTGCAAAAATTCACATAAAAGAATAAAATCATCCGATACCGGAATTCAGTAATATATATTTTTTACGTGAGCAATACGTTAGAAAAAACTAACATTTTTTGATAGAGAATGAAGTCAGCTTTCAAACGGTATATAACAAGCCCATACTTCACCTTTATACAATTGGGGTTTGTATCTGTCATTCAAAGGGGGTTGAAGATAGGGATAATATTTTCACGTTGAAGAAAGTCAATTTATAATTTAAATTAGACGTGTTTTGGGATTTTCTTGAATTAACCGAAATAATGAATTTATTGCATTTGGCTTGTCGACCCTGTATACTATAATTATGTCCATTGATTTGAAATCTCGGTCGGTTTTATGTATAGAACGTATGTATTAATTAATTATTTACATTACCGAACAGCACAAAATCTTGAAAAATGCAACCGACCTACTGCAGACGTTACATTACGCATTTCCACTTGGGGTGCAAAATTTGTGTGTATGTAATTAAAGGAATGAGAGTTGCAAGTATTCTAAATAAAAGTAACTTGAGTAGGAAATTAGAGATACCTTGATGATTATTAATATGTACCTACCTTTACAAATACCGTTTCTGACAATGGCTGGTCAATGTTTTTGTTACTAGATGCGGTTTTGGGTTTACGAACTTCAGTTTTGATATCGATGGCATCAGATGATACACTAGATGTAGAAGTAGTGTCTGAGGCTGGGTCACTGATTTGGTAATCTCTGTCTCTGCTGTCATCATTATCAGAACTTTCTGCCTCTATTGTATTTTGGCTAAACTCATTACAGGAATTATGTGGACCACCCGTAAAACTTTCACTGATCGATGGCTTTGGGTCAAAAATCTCAAAGTTTTCTTCTAAAATACCTTTTTCTTCATGTGATATCTAAAATTTAGTGATGTTATACAATTACATATCTATTAATTTGAAAGAAGTGCGAGTGTGACCCCCGAAGTTCCCATCTTAGGTTTTTTATTAATACATTTTTTTATCTTTGATTTTGGCATCAATTTTTGCTTTGATTTTTTAAAAATACCCTAAAAATTTTTCTCGCGAATTTCAACTTTGTGGAAAAATTTACTTCAGCTACATTGAAGCAAAAATTAATGCCAAAATAAAATTTTGAACAAAATTATTAATAAAAACATACGATTTGGATTTCGTTGATTACACTGTATAGTTTCAAGTCATGCAAGTGATTATTACACTTTAAATTTTAAAATAGCGTTTTTAGATAGAGTATGGAGATACCGTTGAAACGATATACCTATCACAAGCCCATACTTCCCAATTATAAAATTGGGGGTTACAACTGTCACTCGAAGGGGGCTGAAGGTAGGGATCATATTTTCACGTTGAAGAATGTCAATTAATAGTTTAAATCTGACGTGTTTCGGTATTTTCGATAAATAACCGAAAGAATGAATTTATTCCATTTGGCTTGTCTACTTTGTAGGTATGTAACTAAAGGAATGACAGTTGTACGAATTTTAAACAAACGTAAACAACTTGAGTAGTTGTTTATACAGGGTGTTACACGACCGTTCGAAAAAAAAATCGGGTTGTAGAGGGCATCAAAACAAGCACTTTTTCCAAATAAACTGAGGGTCCAACGTGTTTCGTTTGGGAGCCACCCCCCAAAGAGTGTTGAAATCTGCATTTCTTCTTTAATTTTTTTCTCAGCAACCATAAGAGTTACAAAGTCGGGTGCCATGTCTTTGAATAGGTTTTTGGGTATGCTCTTTCCGATTTTGCAATTTTTTTTTCAAAATTCCTACCCCTAAAGGGCGCACCCCTAGACTAGGGTACAAAAAAAAATTCTGATTTCGACGAAATTTGGTATCTGGGGGTTTTTTAACATGAAAATCACGAATCTGAAATTAGTTTTTGAAAATTCGAAAAAAAAGTTCCACTGCAATTCTTGGGGTGACAACGAAAATAGAGATAATTCCACGAAATTTGTTGTGTACATACTAGACGAGTTACGGAACAAAACTGTCGAACAGTTTTTTAAAATAACTTTTCAAACAAAAGTTATACTCACTTGAATGTTGGTCCGTCGGGTCTAAAAGTGTACACATTCTACTAGTCACTAGTAGCAAGTCGTCTAATTTCGCGTGTAGTTACTTGAAAATATCGCAAATAACAATAAATTAACGTTCTGTTTGAAAAGTGATTTCAAAAAACTGTTCGACAGTTTTGTTCCTTAACTCGTCTAGTATGTACACAACAAATTTCGTGGAATTATCTCTATTTTCGTTGTCACCCCAAGAATTGCAGTGGAACTTTTTTTTTCGAATTTTCAAAAACTAATTTCAGATTCGTGATTTTCATGTTAAAAAACCCCCAGATACCAAATTTCGTCGAAATCAGAATTTTTTGCACCCTCGTTTAGGGGTAAGAATTTTGAAAAAAAATTGCTAAATCGGAAAGAGCATACCCAAAAACCTATTCAAAGACATGCCACCCGACTTTGTAACTCTTATGGTTGCTGAGAAAAAAATTAAAGAAGAAATGCAGATTTCAACACTCTTTGGGGGGTGGCTCCCAAACGAAACACGTTGGACTCTCGGTTTATTTGGAAAAGTGCTTGTTTTGATGCCCTCTACAACCCGATTTTTTTTTTCGAACGGTCGTGTAACGCCCTTTATAATATGTACTTACCTTTACAAATTCCGTTTCTGATAATGGCTGATCAGTGTCTTTGTTACTATCTGCCGTTTTAGGTTTAATATCAGAGTTGATATCAATAGGATCATATGATACAATAGATGTTGAAGTAGTCTCTGAGGCATTAATTTGGTAATCTCTGTCTCTTCTGTCATCATTATAAAAACTTTCTGCATTTTGGCTAAAGTCATTATGGCTTAATGGATTAATACTGATGACTGATAATATTTGCACTTTACAGGAATTATGTGGACCACCTGTAACACTTTCACTGGTCTGCGGCATTGGGTCCGGAATGCCAATCTTTTTTTCTAAACTGCCTTTTTCTTCATGTGATATCTAAAATTTAGTGATGTACTGCAATTACAAAAAATCAAATAAATTGAAAGAAAAAGTTATAATGTGACCAGTAAAATTCCCACCATTGCTTTTTAATTAATACATTTTTCGATCTTTGATTTTGGTATCAACTTTTGTTTTGATCTTTTTGAAAAATACCCAACAAAATATATCTCACAAATTTCAAATTCGTGGCAAAGTGTAGGTACTTAGCTGCATTGAATTAAAGCCAAAATAAAAAATTTGAACAAAACTATTAATAAAAAAATACGTGATTTAGGCTTCGTTCATTACACTGCAAACGTTCACATAAATGAAATAATTTAAGTGTATTAACTAGATAAAAACAAAAACAACTTCATAATTTCGGTACCTTAGGTTTCGAAAGTTGTTGAACAGGTATTATTATTGAAGTGCATTCACTAGAAGTGGTATCTGATACATATGAACAAGAGCAATTTGTGGAAGTACATGCCGCAGCTTTTTTGCATTTGTCAAAAATCGTCTTCAAAACTTCATCATCCTTTGTAGGGCGCGTATTTTTTGTCACCTCAAGAGTCGTTTCAGGATCTATATTTTCCTTACATACATCATCATTACACTCATCAAATTGACTCTCTTTAATCCATGCCTGCAACGGAATTCAATACATTATCGAATCAATTGTAAATATGCCGCATCGAAAAATACGCGATTATGCCAGCTTTAGGGTTAAAGGAATATATTTGTGTACATTGTAGGTGGAGTCATTAGTAATAGTATTAGTATAGTACAGTGAGTATAATTATGATAAAAAAGCAAACGTTTTATATAAAGTGTTCGCGCGAAAGCTTTAAATGAAATGATATCTGGTGTTTTAAAGAATATGGACTTGAAATTTTCGAATTTCATCAAGGACGTAGGTAAGAAATTAGTAGCATATGAAAAAATTCGATACAACTGAATACCTAACGATCCTCAAGATCGTTTTTGGGCTGTAACTTTTTGGCACAATACTGCCGTCCTAAGCCAAAAAGACGCATCTAAATATTTCAACTTTTTGAGTTATTGCGATTTATCTGATTTTTGTTACAGCACTCTCATTTTGTATTTTTTGTGATTTTTTCAACAGTTGTTTGTAGTGATGTGTATGAATTATGAACAAATTTGACAAACTTTTTTTTTAGACAGTAATATTTTAATTAAAAAATGAGATGCGCCTGTTAGGCTTAGGATTTTCCTACAAATCTGAGATACGTCTAGAAGAGTAATGCAAGTTTATTACATACTTTTTACACAAAGATTTAAATTGAGAGTAAATGAACTTTAACATATTAGATGAAAGCAAATAATGACACAAATGTTAGTTAGAGTCCTCGTCTTGTGAAACTGGAAGCTCATTCCAAAACTGAAGCCTGTTCTTCATTATTGCACCTAGATTTTTTATTATTGCTGCTTTTTTTTTGGATGGAATTCCTAGAACTTTTTGTTGTTTTTTTGGAGGAGGCAGTTTTTTATTCTTCGTAATTTTGGCACTGAGAAAATCAAGTTCAATTATCGGAGCGTCAAAGTCATTTTGGTATGTCATAATAAGGGAACCTCTATGGACTGATACTTGGACTATTTCATTTAGATAGGGCCGGGGGTTAATTCGACTAAGTTTATATTGCGAAGTGTAATCCTCCCAAATAAAAAAATGCTGTAATTCCATTGGTAGAACTTCAGTTTGCCGTGAGGCTTGTTTTACGGCTTGAACAAAATCTCCAAAATCGTATAGTTTGTTGCCCATCTTTTTCATCGACAGCTCGACTTTGTGGTGAAAAGAATCTGCGGCCATAAATGTATGGCCGGGCTCGAAATATTTTATAACAATTTCATTAGCATTAATTTCATCCGAATTAACAATGTAGAGCAAAAATGAGAAGAATGACCAGTTCTTATTTTGCGCAGAGCAATTATCAAGCCACAATGTTATTTTGACAGCGTCTCTTTTCATAAGGACAAATTGGTAAAATGCGCTTATTATTTCATCTTTACTGCGTTTAAATAAAGCGTCGTGCCAAACAGCGGCAAACGTTTTGCTATTCTTTTTTTTGCCAATTGGTACAAAGCTCTCATTGTAAACTGTAATTCTGCTTGTGAAAATTGCTGTTTTAAACGTTTCCAGTCTTGGTAGCATAATAACTTTTTCCAGGTCGGCGCAGTACATAACCTTACCGGCTTCTTCTGGTTGTTTACCATCATCTCTGTAGTGTTCACGCGACTTTGTTGCTCTGTCTATATGTTTTTTCCAAGTTCTACAAACATCACAAGTTTCTTCTAGATTGTCTTTTGTGTGACTTTTATCATGTAGAGAAAACCCTTCACAACTTTCACATTCTTCGTGTCCTAGATTTGCTAGCGATATGTTCATTTTCTTAGCTACTACACGGTACTTTTCATAGGAAATTTTTAGGTCTGGATGTTTGGTTAGGAAATCCTGATGTAATGCAGCAAAAGTAAGGTCACTAGGAAGATAAAGACGTTGGGGTGCATGTTCTCTCCGGTAGTGTGAGATAGTGGGGTTGTAAGATACAATATGATTACGGATCACTTCATCGTCTATTTTATTGTGCGGTTGCTTCCTGCATCTCAAGTCAGGCACAGGCACTACAGAATTGTTAGCATTACGTAAAGCTGTGCGGATAACTTTGTCACTTTGTTTATTAAAACCTAGAGTTGCGAGAAAAAAAGTTTTGCATACATTTTGAGATGTTCCATTTTCATTTTTCAGTGCATAGTTATAAGTGATATTTCTTTGATAACCAAGATCACTTTGTAAGGTTGTTCTCTGTTTCACTGGTCTTGATGAAATATGATGTAAAATAAAAGATTTTCGGTCTTTATCGTTTGACATTTTCCAAAATTCGCTATTCAGAAATTGTTTTCTCTCTTCTGATATCTTTGACACGCATTTTTTTAAACAATCTTTCCCACAACTATCTTTAACGCAGTGCTTTTTTGCAAGTGATTCATGCTTAGCTTTTTTTCTTGAACTCACTGACAACTCGAACTTTTTTCTTTTTCGAACTGTTCCCTTTTTAGTGTATTGGACCACAGATGCGTTATTACTTACTCCAGCGCCGTCGATATCTACGAAATCGTCAGGATCCGCTACAACAACCTCGCCTTGAACTGGTGGCTCGACTGCTTCCGTAATTGATTCAAATAATTCAGTGACTGTCTCTAACTCAGAATTTCTTACTTCTGTCATAAAAGAGCGTGTTGATTCAAATAATTCAGTGACTGTCTCTAACTCAGAATTTCTTACTTCTGTCATAAAAGAGCGTGAGTCCTCTACTTCGGGAGTATCAAAGTGAACTGGCACAATAGAGCTAGAAATATCGAGAAGGACTGGACTTCTCGAGGGTATGCGTGTGACAGGTGAGATTTCCGTCAGAGAATTCCCTGAGTTAATGTCGTTAATAACTCCATGACCAGCGCTACTTTTCACAACTAAATTAGAAGAACAATTTTTATTTTCTTCCTTGCACTCACTTGTCGTGTCGCTATCACTATCATTATTTTGCGAACTAGTGTCAGTGGGATAATAATCTAAATCTTCCGACGTCTCACGGTTTTTAATTTTTACCGCGGGTTGGAACGTTTGTTTAGTTTTCTTGTTCAGCGCCAACATGACCAGCTTGTTTCCGCGAGACCCTTGTGTTCTGTCCATTGAATCTGAAAAAGCAGTGTAAACAAAAAATACTAAAATAATGGGCATTTCATCGTAACGTATTATTAATTTATCAACGATAAAGGGATTTTTTAACCATTGAGTGGAATGTCAATTTAACGTCTGCTATAAAATAGGGTATATTATGCTCGCTGAAAATCCGATATACCTACTTGAATAAAGAAAATCATATATAATTACTTACCTGCTGACAGTGTGTAGCCAATCTGTCTCTTGTTACAACTATTATATAGGCACTAAATAGGTACCTATTTACCTACTCTAATCGTTTATCACCCCGATCAAAGACAATTTTATATCGTATGCGCAAACAGTTGACTTTACTAATACAAGCACCTACTAAATTACTTAAAACTGTCATAAAGGTTAAACCGCCGACCACGCCCTTGTTCGTATGTTTTACCGCCTATCTGGTTACACAAATGAATTACTAACTACGATGTAGAATCATAAATTAACTAATTTGGACGCATCTAAGCACGCACTGTACAAGACCCGCACTCTGCATTACCAAAAATCCTAAGCGAAAAAGGCGCATCTATGAGAACCGTCTATATTGCTTAGGAAATTGAGATACGTCCAAACTGATTAGGTTTTTTTATTTTTTTTTAGATGCGTCTAAGTTTATTAGCAATTTTTAAGCACTATGGAGTTGAAATGCGTCTTTTTTGCTAAGGGAATAAGTTAAACATCGTATCTGGAGTCCTTAAAACCATTAATATAAAAATCGGAAAAATATTGAGATGCGTCTTTTTAGCTTAGGACGGCAGAATAGTCTACTCAGCTTAAAAAATAGCGAATCTTTGTATATCCTTAAGAACATGTGTAACTAGTTTCAAAGCGATCGAACGTTTCTAAACACAAGGACAGACAGACAGCACTCGAGGTGCGTACACACAAAATTACATGTAAATATCTTAAGGAATAAAAAAATTGGATTGAGCATGCGTAAAACATTTTTTTTGTTTTGGCATTAGTTTTACTTTTACTCGAAGTGCCTACACACAAGATTACATGTAAACATCTGAACAAATAAAAAAATTTGATTGCTCATGCGAAAAACGAATTTTTTGATTCGGTTTTAGTTTTAATTTTACTCGAGGTTTACAAAATTACATGTAAATATCTTAAGGAACACAAAAATGGGATTGAGCATGCGCAGACAATTTTTTTTGTTTCGGAATTAGTTTTACCTTTACTCGAGGTGCCTACATTCAAAATTTCATGTAAATATCTTAAGGAATACAAAAATTGGATTGCGCATGCGCGAAACAAATTTTTTGATTCGGTGTTAGTTTTACTTTTACTCGAGGTGTCTACATTCAAAATTGCATGTAAATATCCGAACAAATAAAAAAATTTGATTGCTCAAACGAAAAACGAATTTTTTTATTCGGTTTTAGTTTTACTTTACTCGAGGCGCCTACATTCAAAATTTCATGTAAATATCTTAAAGAATACAAAAATTGATTTGCGCATGCGCAAAACAAATTTTTTGATTCGTTGTTTGTTTTACTTTTACTCGAGGTGTCTACATACAAAATTACATGTAAATAAATAGCTTAAGGAATAAAAGAAATTGGATTGAGCATGCGCAGAACAATTTTTTTGTTTCGCCATTAGTTTACTTTTACTCGAGGTACCTAGGTACATACAAAATTACACGTAAATGTCTTAAGGAATAAAAAAATTGGATTTCGCTTGCAAAAACAAATTTTTTGTTTCGGCATTCGTTTCACGTTTACTCAGGTGCCTACGTACAAAATTTCATGTAAATATCTTAAGAAATAAAAAAATTGCGCATGCGCAAAACAAACTTTCATTTGGCATTAGTTTCACTTTTACTCGAGGTCCCTGCATACAAAATTTCATGTAAATATCTTAAAAAAAAAAAAAAATGGATTGGGCAAATACAAAAGTTAGGTTGCGCTTTTGATTCTGCATAGTTGCTTGAGGTTTATGGAATAGTTACTTACACAGAAAACGGGACATTCATATGTTCTTTGTAACTAGAATTATAAAAGAAACACTTTTGGTACTTACAGAAGTTCGTGTATGGCGTAAATCCTCATCCAGTTTAAGTGGTGGCATTGGCGGCGACTTTTCATTGTTTTCTACAATATAAACATTACTAAGATTGTTCGAGATAAATTAAAGTACACTAATACAGTCGAAAAGCGCAAAACACGTATTAAAAATATTGACATTGTATATTAGATTTCGATATAATACGGAAAGTATATCGAAAGTTTAAATTTTTGAAAAACTGTTTTCGCACATTTTAAATTCAAAACGAGAACTTAAACAAAATATCCACATATTTCGTATAATCAACATTTCATAACCGCCCCTTATTGCCGTTGAATATGCGTTGTATTTAAAAATTCCCAGTTAAGCATTTCATTGCGATAACTTATTGCACGTGCAATAACTTAATTGTTCAGCAAATTATGTTTTATAAAATGAATAAAGTTTGCCTAATTATCTATAAGAACATAGTTAATTAGAAATACTTACCGTAATTGTTTCGCGCCAATTTAAGAATTAACTTGCTCCTTCGATGCATGGTGCTCGGACAGCGTTAACATTCATAATATTCAAAATTAAATAAGCACGTATTGCGATGCGATGCTGCCAAACGTGGGAGGCGATAACGTACGAACCATGTAAAAGAGATATTGTTAAATATAGGCGGAGGTAACCTCACCCTTCGTGCATCGTTTCCGTATATACGCAGTGATACACCAGCGCCGGTGTTATATATGTGAACTATTTCAAAAAATTGCATGCTTATAGGCTTCGATATCACCTCCAACATAAATTTCGTATTTGAGTTAGTACTGTCTTCTTATCGTGGTTTCTGTTGAAAACATAGAGAAACGTTGTTACCTCCGAAATCGGAGGTAACAACGTTATATATGAGGGAAGAACGTACGGTACGTATCTATTTTGGAGGTAACTTGGTACTCTCAATATGTATATATATATATATATATACTTGTGAACGTATAAGTCGAAATTGGCTGTTGCGCTCTACACATTAGGTGAGTACAGTGTTTATTAAGGAAACCTAACCTCTGTAAGCAGTTAAAAGTATAAAGTGGACTTTGATTGTGACGTTGGCCATCTCTACCTAGGACTCGGGATAGATGGCCACCAAACGGAAGGGATAGATTACCACTTATTTTTCTTTCGTTTCCCTACAGTTTAACTCATTTCCGATTAAGTAATTGCAAAAACAATGCCGACGGAGTATAAAAGACTCTATTCAAATCGTGGAAATTATACTGAAGAAAATCTTAGGCTGGCATTTGAAGCTGTGAAAAACAGTTCTTCTGTAAACGGTGCTTAAAAAAATTATGGCATTCCTAGGAAAACCCTTGAAAGGAAAATAAAGAAAAATGTATCTACGACTGGGAAAATGGGACCTGACAGCATGTTGAGGGAGGCCAATGAAAATAAATTAGTGCTACACATTAAAAAGGCACAAAAATACGGTTTTCCTATGACGGTATCGGATGTTTTTAATAAAATTATTAAGATGATTTAAATTCAAAATCAATCGATTAGATCCATCTGGCTTAGGTACAAGAAAATTGTATATACTGATAGCCCTCCTAAGCAACAAATCTTGGATTATATTATTTAGGATTCTTTTTGTGACCATTTTGGTTCTACAGGTACACCACGTTGACTTGGTTTAGTATGAAAGGGAATATAAAATCCATTAATATAGGACACTATCCTATTGTCAATAAATAACTCACTCCCATCTAAAGCAAACTGTTTGAGTCTTCCACAAGGACTACTAACCTCTAATGATCCCTCTGTCCTTGTTTGGATTGGAAATGTTTGTAACGTTCCTGCCTCTTCAGGTGAGTGTAAGCTGGTGCTTCTGCAACAACGGACGTTTTTCGTTTCCTTGTTTCGAAGGTAATGACGGTCCAGAGAATATACGCTTCTTAGGTACCTATATTTGATTTGCAGATTTTTCCAAATCTTTTACGGTCTTTATGTCCAAATCCAAATAACCACTCGGTTATGGAAGTATTTTTAAGGTATTCCGTAAATCCTTATTTAAATTGAGTGCGATCAGGTTCCTCCGCGATATGGAATCGGTATGGTAGATGTCACTCAGCAAACGTCCTACATCGTTCAAAACTTCAATGTATACGATATGTGTTCTCCGCTTCCTTCCTTAATTAAATTTGTGACAACACCAGAAATCGCAGCACTTAACTGCGGTTGAAGTTGACTCAATCGTATGTCTCTCCGAAATGTTCCGTCTTGCACCGCAACTTTTACCTCCGGGTTAATTTTTGGAGGTAACAAATCCGGGCAGTTTTTCGGTGGAAGATACTTTTTGATTAGATTTGTTTTATGTCTTCCGACAACCCTAATTTTAACAATTTTGTCCAGCCAAGTCCGGATGGAATGAATCGGAAAATCTTTTTTTCATAATGTCATCTTCACCTAACAGAGTTAAAATAGCTGGCGGAAGCACGTCCTCAGACTCGTCTTCACGAAGCTCCTGAATTGTTTCATCTGCAACGCCAGATAATTATAAGCAACAAATCAAAACCCCCGGCCTTACACAAGCAAAAACTATAAAGCTTGTAATGGGCAAGACCGTATTAGATTATAAAAACCAATATAACAAAGACATAACTGAATTTACAGTCGGTCTTCTAGGGTAAGGACCCCATTAGTGTCACCCTAGGCACAAGAACTCCAGCACACTAGGTATAGGTACCTATGTTAAAAAATTAACAAATGCGAAATAAAACAGGTTCACCTCACTCGGCGAACAACTGTACGTACTCACCGACAGCTAAAAGAAGGCAATACAGCCAACAAGTGCCACACTAGGCACGTTCACCTCACTCGGCGAACAAACTGTACTCGATGACAGTTAAAGGAAGGCAATAAAGACAATAAGTGCCACAGCAAGCACGTTCACCTCTCTCGGCGAAGTAACTGTTCTCACTGACAGTTGTAAAAAGAAAACGCATTCCAACTTTCTACCCCGGCTGAGCAGTCCAACAAATCTGTATCTGCTACATCCTCATTAACACCAGAAGGGCCAGGCGAAGATAAGCGTGACAATCTTTCACGTACTCTTGACGGCGAAAAAGGTGACCGGCTACATTCGCTACCAAAAGGATACGGAGACGGTGATTTCCACCGGCATCTTATTTGTTTTTTCTCAACCTTTTCTACTCACGGTAAGTAGAACTTAAATCTTTTAGGCATCAAAGTAATTACTTATTTTCCTATCAGAAATCGAAATTTGGGACGTGGTCCCTTTCGAATTGTGGATCGACCGGGCCGCAGATACCCCCAAGACGGTCATCGTGAAAAATTTTGAAGGAACACCCCTATTTGTGACAACGGTTCCCCCCACCGGCCCGCCTATCATAACATCATTTGGGCCGATCACATTCACCATGCGTGAAACCAATAATACACTGGAATTTTTTTTCATAAATACTTTTGAATAAAAACTTTCCGATTTCTATTACATTTTATTGCCTTTTAAAAATAAACCCTTTACCAAGCATTTCGTTTTAGAATAAAAGATAACACACCTTACATCCATTCAGTAGTCATGTATAAAACGTTAATAATAATGGGTTAAGTATATCGTTTTGTCTATAACAGGATTTACTTTGTAAAAGATTCACCAAGTTATGGGAAAAAAATTCACATCATTCGAAAACTCTTCGATCTAGGCTTATAATTTTTATTTAGTAAATTTATTCAGTTACGTAAAGTAATAAAGGAAAATAAATGAATCCCATTCAAAAATAGCTAAGTGTGTGTATGGCTGTCAAGCGCCTGCAACCCTTAACGCGAACACGAAACAATGACTAAATACGAGTGAAGTGAATGTTTCTGTCCATTTTTACGTTTTATGAGAAAGCTGTTTCATTCTAATTTAACTTAGAGACATCCAAAATTCGATTATTATTTTTATAATCAAACTCACATTCAAACGAGAATTATTACAATAATAAATTGTAAATCCATTAACTTTTACGCGTATTTCAAGTATGTTACTCATACACCGTCTTCCATTAAGACGTGTTAAATCATGTGTAATTAAAATATTCATAGTAATTTAGTGCAGTAATAAATTAGACATCCATTAACTTAATACAGTCGAACTATGGCATCAAAATAATCATACGCGATTTATTCCATTAAGATTGAATACACTGTATATAAAAGGCATTGATTAAAAAATACCTACTTTACTATCTAAATAACCTAAAAAAAGTTAAACGACCTCATTTTTTAATAGGAATGGAACTAAATTACCTAAAAGTGTTTTAATTTTATTCACAACCCCCCGCCTTAAATGCGCGCAACATCTTATCTTTACGTTCATCATTTATCCCATCCCTTAGATTCCCATTTTTCTTAATTCCATATAAATACAGACTCTCACATAAGATATTTATAGTACCTAACATATTTCGTCGTGGTACATTCTACAATGGGGCATCGCGATAAGTTTAAATCTTTAAGACACTGAATTACTTACTTTTTTTTCTTTATCAGAAATCGAAATATGGGGTTATTGCCCACCTGAGTTGTGGATCGACCGGCCCGCAGATACCCCCAAGACGGTGATGATAAGAATAGGTGGAAATCCAATCTTTTTGGTAACCACCCCCCACGCCGGCCCACCAATTATGACGACATTTGGGGCTCTTACATTTACAATGAGGTGCATTAACAACACCGTAGAATTTTTTTTTATAAATATATTTGATTGAAAGATGTCTATTGCATTTTATTTCCTTTATTTTCTTCCAATGAATCGCTGTAGTGCCGATAATCATAAGATCAAACGAACTTACCCAAGTGATGTTCGATCCTAATTATATGAAGGCCTTATCGAATTTACAGTAAAAGTAAGTATTCACGTCACTGTAAAACTTTCATACAACACAAAGATGCTACATCTTTCACACGGGAAAAGACAGTCTGGTGAATCAAGTAATGTGCTTTTTTTTCAGAAGGATGCTTGCCCTTCTCCGCCCTCCGAAGGTTTCTTAATGTAAAACTGTTTGCACTTGATATTTGTATTTTATCTTTACCCATAAGTGTCCACTTAACTAAAATTTTATGATTCCTGAAAATCCGAAACAAATGTATTAGTATAGATTACGTTATTTCAGACCCTTATTGAACTGAATAAGGAATGAACGACAGTTTTACGATGGTTTTTTTCGCGTTTCGGATCACATTACAATTAATTGTATAAAATTCCCTATAAAATATGTACCTAGACCCCTTTTGCTGTGATCGATAGGTGAAATGAAATGCTACTTCCACTTAAATACGTATACGCGAATTTGTATTTATCACAACACCTAATTATGGGTGATTTTGCTTTACGTAAAACGGATTGGCTTGATTACGTTTATTGCTTAATGTGATTTGAAGTTCATAGACGACGATTCATTTTTACTTATTTATTATATTTAGGTCCAGGTTTTTTTTCCCTATTAATTATAGGCATCCATTAAGCACTACTGCTATGTTTACTTTAAATTAAATTATTATCACTTTATAGAGGAAGACATATTTGGGCATGTAATAAATTGTAAATGCGTTATGTTCCATTAATTGGTAACACTTTAATTTTTTTCCTGTATGTAAAACGCATTAAACTTACTTTACTACATAAATTACCTCACATTCCCTGCGCTAATTTAACTACATCAAACCCAAATTATTATAACAGCGCTCGGGTAAACTGTCATTTAATGACAAGCACGGTCTACAGAAAATGTTCCTGACCAGTTAATACTGAATAGATTTCAAAAAATTAAGGACCAGTTAAACGAATGCACTGTAATTTACTCCGGCGAAATTTTGCTAAATTTTTGTTTAACAGGGTAGCACACTCATGAACGTTGATGTTTTTCAACTTCATTGTAAAGTGAAATACCCGAGCGCTGTTCAGGAAATTGGGTATTGCATATCGATCGCTTAAGTGCAAAACGTCGTAACCCACCAAAATTTCAAAAAATCGTTTTTCGCGCCATTCGAATCATTTGCCTCACGTGCAGATTCTAACAAATCGTCGTAACTCACAATCGCCTAGAAAATGCATTTTACGCGCCAAAACAAAACGTCGTATCAACAAAGTGCTTAAATTGGTTTGTTAAACGTCGTAAGCCACAATTTGTGAATGCGTTTTACAGTGTCAAGTCACAAGTGCATCTCGACTCAATATATTAAAGTGTTTTGTACCGTTATTAGGTAAGTTTTATGTTAGTTATAGAATTTATCGTGTAATAGTTTGCTGTGTTTACTTTTTACATAAAATATTTTCTAATTTTTCCACTATTACCTTAATTCAATTGAATAAAACGTGTTCAGTTCGATACGACATTTTACGTGTTGAGAACTTACAACCTGTATTTGCGGCTTACGACATTTTGTATCCCTTGAACGTACCTACCGGTAATTATTGTTCCAATTCTGCCTAACTTTAAATTGCGTTTTGATACCAAATGTGATGTTACCTAATCATTAATTTTCGATTTTATACATATAATCCCGTACCCACCGCTACTTTTAAACCTTAAAACTGATTTTAAAATTCATGCAATTTTAAAGGTCAATTTAAGACAAAGAATGAGTAGGTACCTATTTTGATCTTTCAGGATGGCATACCGAACATTAAAAATTATGGCTCTCGCCGCTGCTATTAATTCTGATAAAAACAAGACCCCTGATGGAAATCATGTGAACTTTGAAAATCATGAACACTCAACGTCGAATGAACCACATTTAACTACTCTACAGCCTGTATCATTAGACTTAGATGTTAACCAGCATGTCATGTTGGATGAGATTCCTGTAATATTTGACGACATAAATCTTACAGAAGATAATTCGTTACAATACAATGTGATAAGTAACGAAATTATCCTTCATTCAGTTGATGGAGGAAGTAATGAAAAAAATGTTGAGGATAGCCATCAGACTGCGCAGGTAAATGATCATGGTGGCAGTGTGTTGAACTAGGTAAGTCTGGCAATCATTTTCTTTTTGTGTTTCAGGAGATACTACCAGACGACCACATGAATAGGAAAAATATTAATCTAATAGAAGCGATTGAATATGACGATAAAGAAAAACACGATAGTGAAATTCAAACCGATTATGTGCCAGATGATCAAGACAGTAGCAGTTCAACTGATGCAACGAAGAATGAGGAACAATTAATGAAGAGACCTGTTAAAAGAATTAGGAAAAGAAAAAAAGACACATCCACATGGAAGAGACTAATTAATAAGAAACTGAGAATGGAGGGTAAAGAATATAAGTCTACTATAAAAGATCAGCAAGGAAATGAAGTGAAGAAGTTTGCTCGAAAATTAGGAGTTGTATGTGAGTGCAAGTCCAGCGCTAGATTTTGTAATAAAATAGATGAACAAGTAAGAATGGAGATATTTGAAAAATTTTGGAAATTGAATTGGGAGGACAAAAAAAGTTATGTCAGGTCCCTTGTAACTTATGAAGAAAAAAAAACTTATGAAGAAAAAAAAAGATGTTATGT